GTACTCCAAGGCCAAATTTGCCTGTTACTCCAGGTATTTTTTGACTTCCTACTTTAGCATTCCAGTCCCCTATAATGAAAAGGACATCCACCCATCCAACACCCAAAAACACCATTTTGGGGTGTTAGTTCTAGAAGGTCTTGTAGGTCTTCATAGAACCATTCAACTTCAGCTTCTTCAGCATTACTGGTTGGGGCATAGACTTGGATTACCCTGATATTGAATGGTTTGCCTTGGAAACAAAGAGAGATCATTCTGTCATTTTTGAGATTGCACCCAAGTACTACATTTTGGACTCTTCTGTTGACTATCATGGCTACTCCATTTCTTCTAAGGGATTCCTGCCCACAGTAATAGATATAATGGTCATCTGAGTTAAATTCACCCATTCCAGTCCATTTTGGTTCACTGATTCCTAAAATTTCAACATTCACTCTTGCCATCACCTGTTTGACCACTTCCAATTTGCCTTGATTCATGGACCTAACATTCCAGGTCCCTATGCAGTATTGTTCTTTACAGCATCAGACCTTGCTTCTATCACCAGTCACATCCACAGTTGGGTGTTGTTTTTGCTTTGGCTCCATCCCTTCATTCTTTCTGGAGTTATTTCTCCACTGATCTCCAGTAGCATATTGGGCACCTACCGACCTGGGGAGTTTCTCTTTTAGTGTCCTATCTTTTTGCTCTTTCATACTGTTCATGGGGTTCTCAAGACAAGAATACTGAAGTGGTTTACCATTCCCTTCTCCAGTGGATCACATTTTGTCTCCGTCTTCTATGTAGAATGTATTTTTAAGTTCACTGAAAAGGTTGCATGCATTATATCTTGCTTCGTGTCTGCTGCAGGCAAGAAGTCTGGTCCCCTCCTCTAGGCTCTACCAGTTCCCTATACAGTCACCATGCTGCCGCCCCCTCTACACTTGATCTTAGCCGAAAGGCCAAGAAGCGATTGCCTACCCCTCTAGAATTCGAACTCCTTGCAGACAGGGCATGAATCTTCTCTGTTCTCAGTATTTCACACTTGGTAAACACTCAGTAAATTTTTTTCCCCCAGCAAATATTTTTGAAGTCAACTAATGAATGAACTGATGCTCTATTCAAGTTATTACCAATCTTTTTGAATCAACATCCACTATGATATTAATTGTATCTTTAATTGACATTGATTGATAAATGTATAATTCTGTTCATTTGTGTCACATTTAAATGTATTTTATTAATCAGAAACATTTTATATATGTAAAAGATACATGCGAATATGGGATATTGTCTATTCAGGTCATAGGTAACAGTTATATTACAAAATGTAGCACTGTGTAGAAATTACTGAACTCAGTAAATATTTTCATCAAAACAAGGTTCATTATAAGCACCTTAATATTTTTTCAATAAAGGAATATTTATGTCAGATCAGTCCTATATGAATACATTATAGCTTCCAATCTCTAGTCATTCATTCATCCAGTTTTCATTGAATGCTTCCTGCAAGCCAAGTTCTGTTCTAGGAATTCAAGATTGTCAGAGCCAGGAGAATACTTGCAGTTCATCAAAGTAGGTTTATTAGTCAATGCAACAGAAAGAATGTACACCATGAGGAACAATGGAACTTCTTAGAAAGAGAGTGTTAGAAAAGTCTTGTAAGATTTGGGCTTCAGTTAGGTGATTTGGGGAAGGGTTTAAGGAATAGTAGGGCCTTGCTGGCTTCTGTTAGCAAATGGGATTAGTTTTATGACTGGGTGTGTTAGTAAATCTTGTCCAGGAAGCTAACATGTCATTGGTCAAGAAGTAGTAGTCACCCAGATTAGCCAGAATATAGATGTTGGTCATTATTGTGATCTGGACAGTGTTTATATTGTGTCTATGTTCAGAAGTGGTTATGGAGTGGTCATGTTTTTGTCTTCATCCATCACAGTCACAGTGGCCTTGTTTAATGTTGCTGTTTCGTGAAATTGTTTGTGTTCTACAGAGCACCAGTGCCTAGCTCTGAGTGCCAGGCCAACTCTTGGATATCAGGGGCTGCTTTGCTTTTTCTTAAGCTACAGCTATCAATAAAATAAGTAAAAATCCCTGCCGACACAGAGCTTAAATTCTAGTGTGAAGAGAGATACAGTAAACGTAATAAATTTATCGTGTAAATTAAAAGGTGATTAGTACTATAAGGGGGAAAAGAGGCAGGGTGGAAGAAATGTGTTCAAGAGAGAGGATGTGGCAAGTTAAATCAAGATTGGTCTGACTGAGAAGGTGACAGACAGGTAAAGAGAAGCCAGATCAAGGGGGACTTTACAGCCCCACCATTGTAGAAACTTCTTTACTTTTAGAGATAAAGGAATCCATTGGAGAGTTTGAACAAAACAATGATTTGATTTCACTTATTTTCTAGTAGAGCTGCTCAGGTAGTTGTGTTGAGAATAGGCTATGGGTCAAAGGGAGAAGAGGCAGGGAGATCAACTAAAGGCTTGCATGATGGTCAGAGTGGAGGGGCTAAGAAGTAGTGTGGTTTTGAATGTATTTAAAAGTAGAGCCAGTAAACACTTCTTCATAGATTGGATAGGGATTGTGAAAAAGAGAAGAGTCAAGGATAAATCCAAGATTTCAGTTCTGGTTGATCAAAAAGATTTAGTTGCCCTTGCCAGAGATGAGGAAGACTTCAAGAGAAGCAGATTTCAGGTGAGACAAGTCTGGAATTCAGTCCTGGACATAAGTTTGAAAGATACTAGACACTCAGGAGGAGGTATTGAGTGGGCTGTTGGTCATATGGAACAGGTCTGGGCTACATACAGGAATTTTCAGTGAATGGGTTGTATTAAAACCACAGGACTGTATGAGATCAGCTAGAGAGCGAGTATACAGTTCCAGACATGGAGTACTGGAACACGCCAACACAGAGGGCTCAGGAAGAAGAGGAGCCTGAGATGGAATGGCTAATGAGGTAGAAAGAGAATCACTCAATTCAAAAAAATGTCTTGAGCAAGTAAACAGTACCAGGCACCAAGGTAGATACTAGGGTTGCAAACATTGTGGGGCCACTTACTGAAGTAGGGGACATGGGAGGAAGCGAATTTAAAGGGAAGGAGTGAGTTTGCGTTTAGACATTGTGAATTGCAGGTTGTCCTATGGACACCTAACAGGAAGTTTGGTCTGGAGCCTACAGAATTCAGGGCAAGAAAGAGTCATGACCATGTGAATATATTTAGCTTTGATTTTTGTGAATATATTTATTTAATCCTTAGTAAATGGCCACATTTGATATCATAAATACAGTCCAGAGAGGGTCATAGTGGTATTTAAAAGCATGTAAAATATTAACCAAAAAAAAAAAAAAACTGTGACACAGGCTGGCCACTGCTTATATTTAGTTTTCCTAAGGAGTTCCTGTCTTACACTTAATTGGTCTTCATTCACTGAAAATCTTTTGAAAAGTTCTTGGTTAGTATCTGTTAGAAATAAAGTTTATAGCATGTAAACATTCTGAATAAGATCCTGTTTTTAAAGGGAGGATATATTAATATGGTGCATTACAATATTTTAGTTTCTTTTCTGTACTCATCAGAGTGACCTTATTTACAAAACCGTTTTTTGCTGTCACACAAAGTGTGAAAGGAAACTGTCTTGTTTAAGCTTGTGATTTTTCTAGACAGTTTAATATCCTCTGGCAGATGATTGTTCCAGTACATTTATTTCTCTTTTGTGGTTTGTCATTATAGCCACTGTATGATGCCGCTTACCTTACAATGTACAATATCTGCTTCACATCCTTGCCCATCCTGGCCTACAGTCTACTGGAACAGCACATCAATATTGACACATTGACCTCAGATCCCCGATTGTACATGTAAGTTGAACATATGTAAGGTAAAATCCCCTCAGACATTCAAAGTTGTGGGTTTCATTTTATCTGCAGGTCAGAAGGACACAGAACTTCCCTCCTAGTTTGATTACATGGTTCTGTTCTGAATTTTTAGCCACTTAAACTAAACCATCCAGCTGGAAAATGACTTGTTCTAGGTATATGTCTTATACTTGGATGGGTGCAAATTATTTAGTTCAAAATCAGTAGTTCATAAAACTTTGCCTACATTGTCATAGAGTTCTAGAGTCTTAAATTAAGACAGACTAGTTTTAACTACCTGCCACCCCCTCACCTGCCACATGATGTGAAGAGCTGACTCATTGGAAAAGACCCTGAGGCTGGGAAAGGTTGAAAACAGGAAGAGAAGGGGACAACAGAGGAGGAGATGGTTGGATGGCATCACCAACTTAGTGGACATAAGTTTGGGCAAACTCCAGGAGATAGTGAAGGACAGGGAAGTGTGCTGCAGTCCATGGGGTCTCAAAGAGTTAGACACGACTTAGCAACTGAACAACCCCCTCACCCAAAAGAGGGCCACCCAAAGATAAAATAGATTGAACTGACTATGTTATATTGGGCTTTCTTTTGTAAACTACCCCTGAAATATAGCCTCCTTGCCTTGTTAGCTCCCATTCTAAAATGGCATTGTTGAAGAAAACAATTAACTCATCAAGCCTTTATATTCATGTTGTGTGAGTTGGAAACAGTTGTTTTTCTCTTGGATGGGTACTTGGCACTAGCCCCAGTTGCTTAACCTTTGATTAAATTGGATTTTTGTAAGTGAAGCCTACAGCTAAGGATAAAGATGTTAATTTACTGCAGATTGTAAGCATTATTGAATAGTGGGTAGCAAGTGCAATAGAGAGTTGAGTAAGGTTAATTTGTGCAAAGTGAAGGTATATGACTCATAAAACTCACAATTAGGAATTGTTAGACTTAACCAGAGTTATAAAATTTGTTCTTATTTTAAAGATATTTATTATGAAAAATTTAAAACATGCATAGAAGTAGCAACAAGACTATTTATATAGTGAACTTCCCTGTCCTCACCGCTCAGCTTGAATATCAACTCACGGCCAATCCTGTTTCATTAATAACCTTGTCTTCTCTATCAAGGACTTATTCTGAAGCAGATCTCAATCATTATATAAAATAGTTATTTCAGTATACTACCATACCTAAAAATTTAACAAGTCCATGATATTGTCAAATATCCAGTCAATGCTCAGGTTTTTCCAGTTGACTCATGTCTTCTTATAGCATGCTTATTTGAAACTATATAAGGCCCATATACTGCAGTTGGTTAATAGGCTTCTGAGACTCTCTTAATCTGTAGGATAATTTGACAATTTATTTGTTAACGAAACCTGATCATTTACCTTGTAGAGTTTCCCCCAATGTGGTATTTGCTGATTGCTTCCTCGTGGCATTAATGTGTTCTGCTCTATTATTTCTTGCAAAGGGTATAGTTTGATCAACAGAAGAATCATAGCACCCTTGGTAGAAATCTTCCAGAGCATGAGCTGTCATACACTCTTGTTTAAATAAATGAAGACTCAAGGCCCAGAAATGACTTGCCTAAGGATAGAGGGTATAATGAGAGGCCAGGGCAAGATCCGATTTCCCTCCTCCTGACGACCAGGCCTGTGCTCTTTTCCACAGGCTGGTGGTTTTCAAATCTTGAGCAGCAGTGTTGTCTTCAGACAGCAACTAAAGTGAAGACCAGTAGTGTAGTGACTCTGGTGGAAGAGGGATTTGGGTGACAGGGAGCAGAATGCCTCTTGTTCAGTACCACCAAGAGCTGTAGCTTTGTCTATGCCCTGATCTCAGCTCTGCCCTTGCTGAAGTCACTTGACTGAGATGGGCCTCAGTTTCCTCTTCAGTAACAACAGGTCTAATCACAGTGTTGGGGGGGTGGGGATTAAATGAGTGACTACATGGAAAAACTTAACAGTGGTGCCTGCATGCGTGCTCAGTCTCTCAGTTGTGTCTGACTCTTTTGTGACCCCATGAACTGTAATCTGCCAGGCACCTGTGTCCATGGAATTTCCCAGGCAAGAATACTGGAGTGGATTGCCATGCCCTCCTCCAGGGGATCTTCCTGACCCAGGGATCAAACCCAAGCCTACTGCATTGCAGGCAGATTCATTACCACTGAGCCACCCGGGAAGCCCATGGTGGTGCATAGCACATAGTAAATTTTCAATGTGCTTAGTCACTCAGTCCTGTCCTACTTTTTGCAACCCCGTGGACTGTAGCCCACCAGGCTCCTATACCCAAGAGTATTCTTCAGGCAAGAATACTGGAGTGGGTTGCCATGCCAAAATTTTCAATAGATGGGAGCTATATAATCTTACTTTTCTATTAATGACACCCTTCTCCATATAACTTCAGGGCTATGCTGAGCCCTTTTGCACATTAAGAATGTTGAAAACTTGAAGCAAGCTATTGACTACAAATTCTTGTAAGGGTTTCAATGAAGTTTTAGTTACAACACACGGGTGTAGGTCTTGATTTTTAATTATTTATTTATTTATGGCTGTGCTAGGTGTTCATTGATGCATGCAGGACTTTCAGTAGTTGTGGCAAGCAGGGGCTACTGTCTAGTTGTGATGTGCCTGGGCTTCTCATTGAGGTGGCTTCTCTTAGGTAGCACAGGCTCAATAGTTGTGGCGCATGGGCTTAGTTGCTCCTGGATCTTCCTGGATCAGGGATCAAACCCATGTCTCCTGCATTGGCAGGTGGATTCTTTACCACTGAGCCACCAGGGATGCCTCGTCATGAATTTTTAAACAATTTTGCATAGAGGGTAAAGTTGCCACATCTGATGGAGAAATGAAAGCCAGGGCATACCTATCACATAGCCCAAAAGGCGGCTTCCCGCCTGCCCGCCCTGACGAGATGCTGCTCTCAGCCTGTCACTGTGTTGGAGATTGCTCCATTGCTCTGAGCATTCCTTTGTAAACAGGAAGCTCCAGTCTTCATCTCTCCACATTTGTACCACTTAATGTGACGTGTGGCCTTATGTAACATATTGTAGATGTCACCTTCACAGACTTAGTGATGCAGGCATTTACCAAAGAGTTTTGATGTGAAATGTGACATAACTGGATCTTTTCATATTTTTTGAGAGAAATTTGAAAAGTAAACTGTAGTACTTGTTTCGAGGGTAGAGGCATAGTCCTTCTACCACTTTAAAAGGTGAAAGAAAGGTCTCAGTACACCTGCTGCCTCCGATTATATGGAAATGCTCAGGCCTGTGCTGCTGGTCAGCAGCCCCTCATCTTCATTCCCTCCTGTTCCCCTCACATTAGCTACCACATTCTAAGTTACAGCAGGTCCGTCGTTCACCTGAGTTCAGCTAGGAAACCTCAGCTATAACCCAACACACTATGACGCTGCGTCCTTTCTTCCCACAATGAGTGATGTAAATCCAATGACTGGCTGGAAAGACAGGAACCACTTCCTGCCTCAACCCCACTCAGTGACTCTCAAAACCCTCATTGGCTGGCATTTGCTGGGCCCTCCTTTCAAGGCTCTTTAGGAGAATTGCCTTCCCAGTGGCTCCCAGTTGCCTTGGAAACGTGACTTATTGGCTGTGGGTAGAGCTCATTTCTGGAAAGCAGTTACCTCTATCCTCCTGCAGTTTTCCTAGGGCAAACAGCAGCATATAGCTTAATGCATGCCCCACCATGGCTGTGGAGAAGGAAATGGCAACCCACTCCAGTATTCCTGCCTGGAGAATCCCACAGACAGAGGAGCCTGGTGGGCTGCTGTCCATAGGGTCCACAGAGTGGGACACAACTGAAGCGACTTAGCATGCATGCATGCATTGGAGAAGGAAATGGCAACCCACTCCAGTATTTTTTTTTACATTTATTTTAATTAGTTGGAGGCTAATTACTTTACTATATTGTAGTGGTTTTTGCCATGCATTGACATGAATCTTGCCTGGAGAATCCCAGGGACAGAGGAGCCTGGTGGGCTGCTGTCTATGGGGTCACAGAGTCGGACATGACTAAAGTGGCTTAGCAGCAGCAGCAGCTCCATTGCTGATTTCTGTGTGCCCTTGGACATCTTAGTAGGTAAAAGTTACTTAATGGCTGTTTTTCAGGAAAGCCCACAGCACTCCATACCAACAGAACAGGGATCAGTTGCACTTACATTACAAAGGTCTTTCTTATTCATTACAGCTCAATGACAGTCTTCATAGTATTGGCAACAGGTGCTCTATTTGAGTGATTACATACTTTTTGATAAATGTTAAGAGGGATTTGAAATAGAAGCTAAAGAATTCCATGCACAGATCCATTTTCTTTCTGTAGTTCTGTCCCATTAGAATCAGTAGCCTTATTCGACATCCTGACTTGTACCCAGAACACTCCTATTTTTGACGGATGTTAAACTTTGGATCTGTCCACCCACCATTTATCAAAGCCTGGCTGTACAGCTTCAGACATGTTATTTGACTCATTTTAAAAATATAAAGGGCACCACAAGACCTAAGAAAGGTTAAATTCCCAGGAAGAAATCTTGATTAAAAGAAGTATTTTTATAATTATAGTTACAAAGTCACGGTAGCTTGTTTGGTTGAGAGCATGTGATTTAAAGTCAGCTCTGGCATACTGCTGTAATAGTGGTTCGCAAACTTAACTGCACATTAGAATTACCTGGGGAGTTGTACTTTTTTTTAAATTTGACTGTGCTGGGTCTTAGTTGTGGCACGTGGGATTGAAGATTTGTGTTGTGGCAAGAGAACTCTTGAGTTGCAGTGTGCAGTATATTTAGTTGCAGCATGTGGGATCTAGTTCCCTGCCCAGGGATGGAACCTGGGTCGGCTGCATTGGGAGCGCAGAGTTTTAGCCACTGGACCACCAGGGAACTCCTACCTGGGAAGTTTTAAAATTGTCCTAGTTAGCTCATGCCAGTTAAATCAGAATGAGAGTGGGAGCCAGACATCAATGTCTTTAAAGATCCCCTTGTGATTCCAGTGTGGATCAGAGTTTGGAAACCATTATGATACATCTTTTTGAGGCTCATTATTTGAAAATGGTAGTGATAAGAATACCTGTCTCATGGTTTTTGTGTGTACACAAATGGACTATATAAAACTCTTAAGCCATTTTTACTAAGTACTCAATAAATGAGCTGATTATTATTGATGATGATATTAATATTGTCAGTGACCAGAATTGTAACTTAGAAGCACTTTGACAACTTGCTCCAATACCTCAGACAGGAGGTGATTACACAAAGACAAATCTGTGTCTCCATCTGATCTTTTAATGAAAGCCTACCAATCCCTCAGGAGGAACTCCTTTCATTCTATAAACAGGGTCAAACCCCATGCATACGTTCAGTGTTTCACTGTATCTTTAAATAAACAGCCTACACAGATTCATTAACTTGTATTTCTTCCCATTTCTCAATAGGAAAATATCTGGAAACGCCATGCTACAGTTGGGCCCATTCCTATACTGGACATTTCTAGCTGCATTTGAAGGAACAGTGTTTTTCTTTGGGACTTACTTTCTTTTTCAGACTACATCCTTAGACGAAAATGGAAAGGTAAAAAAATATTGTGTCTTTTGCTACTATCAGCATGGCTTAATTTTTTTCCATAGGCATTGGATTTATCATACACATACTATAGCTGTAATCATTTTGCAAATTATTTCCTAAAGGTATGGTATTTAGTTCTCACAGCATCCGTAGAACAATTGAAATGCCAAAGTAAAAAATCACTTCCTGCGTGCACAGCTAACTAGAGAGCTTATGTGCAAACCTCTGGAAGCTTAACTTGGCTGTAGTTTTTACTAGATGAACAGAATTCTTGGGACTTTAGACTTTGAACCTATACACTTTGATGTGAGCCAAGCTTTTGCTGTTTTAAAAGCGAAGTCTGTCCCCTCAGTTCTTAGTCTGTGCTTAGAGTGCAAGGAGGTAACTGCCATATGTTTGTAGTATTTGCCCAATAATTAGGGAATTCCCTTCTCTTCCTCCTTCCTTTCCACATGGGTGCATAGTGTTTTCCAGAAAGGCTACACTGATCCTGCCAGTGTCTTCCCAGCAAGCGACTCCATAGGTCAGCACCTGCATTGGGGTGACTTTGCCCTGGCTGTGCTCTAGGAGAGAATTGCTGATGGGGTGAGGTCTTTGGCAGCCATACAGTGGAAAATCGAACCCACCTTGCATGCCGCTTCCACTAGGTTCTTTGCTATTTCTCAGCTTCCTCTTTTATGGTCATTCATAGTTTATAATCATGTGAAGCAAAGCTAAGTTTCAAAAAGACTTTACTGAGTACAATGACTATGTCTAGAACCACGCAATCACCATTTACTACAGAAGCGATAGGCTCAGTGAATTTGAATGATATACTGAAATAAGGTACTACAGTTAAAACCTCTCTAATTTGGACTAACAGAAATCAGTTTAATCACTGAGTAAGTGTTGATGAAATACAGATTTAGTACTTTAGTGTAGGCACACATAGCGTTTGCCAGGGAGAGTTCCTTAGTGAATCTGTGTGCATCCTCAGGCCAGTCACTTCTGTTTTCCAAGTCATTTTGCCCAGTGGTAAGCAGAAGAAATTAGATTATATGATTTCTCAGATCCCTTCAGCTTTATGACTTCATTCTATAACTTTACCTTTTTATTTTATGTTTATTTGGCACATAAATTATAGACAGCTGACTATACTCTTCCCGCAATTCTGTTGATATGGTTCATTTGCTCAGCAAACTCTACTGATGGTGCATGGGGAGCCTCAACCCACCCTGTGTTCAATTCATCACCCATTTTGAGTTCATGAAGTCCAAATGAATTAGACGTTATTGTATGTTTGCTAAAATTGTAATAAGAACTACTATCAGCAGTTAAACATAACACCATGTATGATTTGATCAAATCTTTTTTTTTTTGCTATTAACCTTAATTTTTTGTTTTTATTTTTTAAAAACCTTTTACATTTCATTTTCTGTTTTAATGTTATGCATTCAGATCTTGACAGCATTTGGTAAGCATATGTGCCATTCATTGCCATCATTTGGATTTATACATGGTATCTGCTTTTCTTTGATGTGCACATGCTGAGAGCTGTAATATTTATAGCCACAAAATTATTTTATTTTTTATTAATATATATCTTACATGTAACATTATATGTCTCAGTTGTATAATATAAGGATTTGATATTTGTATGTACTGATTGATCACAATAAGTCTAGTTACCCTGTCACCATATCACCATATACTCTATTTTAAAATGTGAGTTCTGCAAATTAGTCCTTATTTGAGATCTTTAGAGCTGTATTGGGCTTCCCTGATAGCTCAGTTGGTAAAGAATCCACCTGCAATGCAGGAGACCCTGGTTCGATTCCTAGGTCAGGAAGATCCACTGGAGAAAAGATAGGCTACCCACTCCAGTATTCTTTGGCTTCCTGGTGGCTCAGCTGGTAAAGAATCCACCTGCAATGCCAGTGACCTGGGTTTGATCCCTGAGTTGGGAAGATCCCTTGGAGAAGGGAAAGGCTACCCACTCCAGTATTGTGGCCTAGAGAATCCCATGGACTGTATAGACCATGGGGTCGCAAAGAGTCAGACATGACTTAGTGACTTTCACTTTCAGAGCAATATGGCAGGAAAAGCCCATATCAAACTGTGTAGAGACAGGAGACATACAAATGAGTTGTCTTATGAACATTACTGGTAGTGGAATAGAATTTTTCCTGCCTGTATCATGCTAGTCTGTTCTTTGTTTTATGCTACATAGAATCATGAAATAAACCCTACCAACCACACACGTGGTGTCTCTTCAAGAAAATTTAGGCTCACCGTAAAAGCCTGTAACATATTGGCCTGATCTTTTGAACAGGTATTTCCCTAAACAATTTATATAAAAATCCTTATCAGTTACACACAAGATTAAACTGGCTGTTTATTGTTTTAAGCAGGCTTGTGTATTCATGGTACATGTAATTGTTGAATGTTTTTCAGGTATATGGAAACTGGACTTTTGGAACCATTGTTTTTACAGTCTTAGTATTCACCGTAACTCTGAAGGTTAGATTTTTATTATTCAAGTATATTTAACACCATTTTTTAAAATACTTTCTGGTCTTATACTAATATATCTTTTTTGTCTTCTAATCTTAATTTTTACTGTGAGCTGTTATTCAAAATTATGTGTGGTATTAGAGATTTGGACATTTGTATACTATTTGTGATCCATTTTTTCCCCACAATGTTGTCTATCCTCTTTTTTTTTTTAATACATGATACTTATATTGGAAATCTCTTCCTTTGTTCCTGCCTTTTCTGAGATGTTATGAGAAGTGGTATATAAATGTACTGTGAGTGTGTGTGTGTTTCCATGTTAAATACTTGAATATTTTTTAAAGTTATATATCTGTTTAAGAAGGCCAGTCCTTAAAGGAATTTGGATACTTAGTTGAATATAGGTGTCCATGAGCAAAATATGTGTCCCAAAGAGCTTGTGATTATTCATATTTTTTCATATTCAATAATTATTATTATTCAATAATTCAATAATAATTATTATTATTCAATAATTCAATAATAATTATTATTATTATAGTGATATTTCATAGAATGTTCAGTGTTTATCACTGAAATTTACCCATGTTAGTGATGAAATGCATAAGAATATATGGCAGGTAACATACAAGGAAAGCAGTTTTGGCAAAATCATTGTCATTAACATGCAGCCATGTAATAATGCTGTATGCTGAATACTGCCCTTAAGACTCATGAGTTGGGCCACTGTTACAGTTGAAGGTATAATCAAATTATGTTGATCATTCCAGTAATAAACACCTCACATGGAATCCAAGAATGAGTACCTTTAAATGAATTTCATTCTGCCCATTGATCAGAACTAGATTCAGAAGTATAATTGACAAAGGACCTCTAACCATTTCCCCTCTGTGTTTTTATAAATGGTCCATTTGTCGTACTGAATAGAACTAACATGTTTGCATTCTTCTTGTACTATTTCAGTGATATTTTAGGCTTGCAAAAGAAAATGTTGCAATTCAACTCCGTTTAGCCACTTACTAGCTGGGTGTCCTTGGGCAAGTGACCTTGTTTCTCAGCACTTCTATTTCCTCTTCTATAAAATAGAAATAAAAGGAGCACCTACCTCCCCTGGGATTTTTTATGAGAAGTCAATTAGTGAATATAAGGCAGTTAAAGTAGTGTGTGGCACATAGAATGAGATGGGTACAATAGATGCTAATTATTATTATTTACTATTGTATTTCATAGGATCATGACTTAAAAGGGGATTCTCTCCACCCTTTTTTACCCCGGACCTTGTATGTGACCCCAGGGCCTTCAAGCACCCTTCATAGTTCAAGTTGGCCTTATTGCAACATATTTCACCCATCTCTGAAAAGCCATCCAGTCTGTCTTCTTTACATGAGTATTACTGTGACATGTTTCCTAGCAGCTTGGTGGGGGGGTGGGGTGGAGGGAATTCAAGACTGGGCTGCATTCACAATGTTACCAATATCCTATTTATGAATGAGCAACTATTAACAGAGAGCTGAGGAGCAGGGTGTCAGAACAGCAAGTAACAAAATGGACATCACCTCCTCTTCAAGAATGAAATGCCCTGGATAGTAAGCATTGTGGCCCAGAAATTTTAAGAAAGCAGAGTGGACCATACTTTTTATTTTTAGATTGCATGTGAAAATCCCAGGTACCACAGTCAGAAGAAACAATCAGTTCTGGAGGAAACATGAAAGGATTAAAATCTCAGGCAGCTGAAAAGGTTATTGATTTAATGGAGTAGCTGTGGGGTTTGCAATTGAAAGGCATGTTACATAGACCCACAATTTGTGGTTCCATGATGCCTGATATGTAGAGCTAGTTGCCTTTTCATTTAGTAACCCCCCATATGTTGTCTTTGAGGTCTCATGACTTCTTTGTGTAGTTGGTCTTTTCTTCCTAGCTACTCTTTCCCTCTTCTCCTGATCCTCGATATACCTGCCTCCACCAGCTAGGCTTCTCTTTTTGCCATCAGCTTCCTGACCACCACCACTTAAGGACGTGGGGGCTTCAGTGTCCAGGATCTTACCATGACCTCATTCCCTGTCCTTCCTTCAGTAGTGAGGCATCTGCAGTGGGTACTTGCTTGTCCACACCTCCATGCCTGTACTCTGGAGTCTAAATATCTTGGGGGCAGAGCTCTTTGGGAAGTCTGGGTTCTGTTCTTCTAGTGCCGTTCGGCTTTAGTTGCCTGGCCCAAGCTGGATCCTCCCACAGGTATCATGTATGGGTTATTGAATGCCACCGGACACTGCCTGGTGTGGTGTGTACACATCATGAAATTTCTTGTGTTGTATCTTTTCAGCTCGCCTTGGATACTCGTTTCTGGACATGGATCAACCACTTTGTGATTTGGGGTTCTTTAGCATTTTATGTATTTTTCTCATTCTTCTGGGGAGGAATTATATGGTAAGCAACTAAACATGTGGGAGTAATAGGTAAATATTAAGAATATGTATATTGTATATGCCAACATTAATTGTACTTGTACAGTTTTGATTATATAAGATGGCAAGTCTTCAATATTAATGGACTGGAAGTTACTTCTAGCCAGTAATGCTGCTAATTTCAGGTGAGATTCTAAATCTAAGTTTATAGACTGTACAAATTACTCAAAAAACTTTTTGACCTTCCTTTTGGTAGCCCTTGTGCAAATCTTTCAGTTTGAAGATATATAAACATCTCTCTGTGAAGTGAAACTAATTTCTAGCATGGTCTCTCCCGTATATTTCCAGTGGAAATACTCATATGAAATTTCTGCACAGTGTAGTGGCCAATAGATACAGCCTTATCCATGTGGACCCTGTTCTCCCTTTATGGTATATCACTCTCATTCTTGCTACTACAGATGTGCTCAAGGTACAGAATATGTATCACTGAATACTCAGAGGGTTATATCTTGAAATCACCATCCCATTGTTTTGGGGAAGGTAAAGGTGGACTCTGCAGCTTGGATTTAAAGTTCATCCCATTCATCTTGGTTCAGTAATGTTTATTCGGAATCCATTTTGCATGAGGCACCCTATGGGAGACAGCAATGAATAGACTGTACCCCTGCCTCAAGAAGACGAGAGTCCAGTGAGTGCACATAAGCTGTGATTGGGAGAGTCATTAGAAATTAAAATCAGAGTTTCATCTCCTTTCCTTACTGCCAGAGGCCTATATTTTATTTTTAAATATCACAGTTGTTTTCATTCATTGATGATTTCCCCTGACAAGGAAACCAGCAGCAGAGAACAGGGCTAAAGCAAGCCATTGGTTGAAATTCCGGGCATACGTATTTTCACTGGTTTGAGCAAAATCGTACATACAGAACATTCCACATTATCATAGAGGACCATGTTTATGTCCCTTGAGACTTAATTAGAAGAAACTTGTACTGTTTTGGAAAGCTTTTTAAAATAAAAGCCTCAAGTAATAAAAATATGGAAAACTGAATCACTTACGGAAGTAGCAACTCCAGAAAGTATACTTACAGCATTTATTTGACACCTTTATTTGAAGCAGTAACACTGAAGGAAGTCATAGACAAATGAACCAAAGCTGATTAACCAAATGTGATATACAATAGTAAGATCTGCCCACAGGACCATAATTCTGTCTAGGAATCTGTGTAGTCAGCATCTGAACTAATTGTGCAAAATTTCCTCAAGAATGAAATGTTTCTAGCAAACTGAACCAGTTTCTCACTCTCTCCAGACTGTTCCTTATTGATTAAAATGAATCCTTGATGTGACTTAAAATATCACCATACCTGTTTCTATTGATTAGAGATGCTTACTAAAAATGAAATGTGAATAAATCTTTGTTTTACTTTCTTGCTTCTAGTGCTGTCCTTAAGTAGACCTGTCTGAGTTGAGCTACTACATGAATATAAAATTTATATTAATCATAAGTCAACCAGCAAAATGTGACTAGAAACTGTAAAACTTCAGCTGAATGCTGATTGTAGCTAGTCTCCGGACATGCTCAACCCTGAGGCATCATGACTCACCTCTCTTCAGGGACAGGCAGTGAGAATGATTTCTGAGCTCCAAACCCCTTCTAAAAATAATATCTTTTGTTTTTTACTGCTCCCTTGCAAGACTCTATAGATGCTGTCAAAATCAGAAAAAAAAAAAACTGTGGAGCTTTTAGAAACAGAGTATTATGGATATTATGCAAAGGAATACCCAGTAACTAGCAGTCAGAATTGTCTGCTGCGCCCTTACTGTGTCTTAGCTGCCTGGAACGTTTGTCGGGGTGCTCTTCTACATTAGAGTGGGACTTGAGCTCTGTGGAAATCTTTTCTCTATGGTAGGAGCCCTAGAAAACTCTTAAGTTTCTCCACCTTACTATTCTCGCAATCTAGTGCCCTGTGAAAGTCACTCAGTCATGTCCAACTGTTTGTGACCCCATGGACTATACAGTCCACGGAATTCTCCAGGCCAGAATACTGGAGTGGGTAGTCGTTCCCTTCTCCAGGGGATCTTCCCAACCCAGGGATCCAACCCAGGTCTCCCGCATTGCAGGCAGATTCTTTACCAGCTGAGCCACCAGGGAAGCCCAAGAATACTGGAGTGGGTAGCCTATCCCTTCTCCAGGGATCGAACCCAGGTCTCCCGCATTGCAGGCAGATTCTTTACCAGCTGAGCCACCAGGGAAGCCCAAGAATACTGGAGTGGGTAGCCTATCCCTTCTCCAGCAGATCTTCCTGACCCAGGATTCAAACTAGGGTCTCCTGTATTGCAGGTGGATTCTTTACCAACTGAGCTACTAGGAAGCCCCACAATCTAGTGGGCAGTGGGTCCACATATATTCCACAGTCTAGTCCTCATCTGTGTAGAGCCATGAGCTTGATGTGATCATGTTATGTTGCATGACAGTGCACAAACATCAGTGTTTAAGTGAGAAACCAGTGTATCTTATTATTTTTATTAATGTGCATAATGGGGATTCCTTTTAATGCAATAGGCAGCTTCAGTAACACTTCTGTTTCATATAACAGGAACTGATTTGCTTTTCCATTATCTTCAGTGAGCACTATTTGTCATCTACTAAATGGGACCAACCACTTACATACCTAAGGCTCCTAATCCAAGGATAGTTTGGTACATGCCCTGAGCTCAAGCAGCTGCTTTGCGCTTCCTCCCCCTCAGCTTCAGACAACATTCACGCTAACGTAGTGAGCCTCTCAGTGGTTCAGCTCAGACAGGGAAGGGCAACTGGCTGGACTTCTCAGTGGCCGCCTAACGGTTCAGTGGATGACTAAACCCAGCAGAATGTAGCATCCTCCTGGATTTCTGGACCCCAAGGCTTAATGTGTGATTAGCAATATTCTTCTGGCAACCTACTTTGCACACTTTGGTACTCAGTATATATTTGTAGATGAGAATGGTAAATTCCTCACATTTGAGAGAGAAAAACTACAGTCCTTATTATGCTTACATAGGGGTTTTGTGGAGGTGGGGCAGTAATAAAAATGTCTTTTAAATTTCCAAATGTAGAGCACAAATCCTTTCTTACGTTAATAAAACAGCCAAGGAAATAAAATGTTTGTTAACATAAAAGTTAATCATCATTTCTCTTGAATATGTCAGAAGTGCCAGCACTTTCTAATGCAAATAAATACTCTCCAGTTGGCAACCTTAAAATAGATCACTTAGTTGTTTTCAAGTCAATTGCATTTTCCCCTTTGATTATCATCCCTTTTCTTTCCAAACATTTAGTAAATGAAATCTGTTTACTACTTTTGGTCATTCTAAAGAAGATTATTTTTATTAATGTATATAATGAGGATTCCTTTTAAATGCAGCAGATAGTTTCGGTAACATTTCTGTTTCATATAACAGGAACTGAATTGCTTTTCCATTATGTATTTTCTTTCCATTCTAGGCCATTCTTGAAACAACAGAGAATGTATTTCGTATTTGCTCAAATGCTGTCATCTGTATCCATATGGTTGGCCATAATTCTTCTAATATTTATCAGCCTTTCCCCTGAGATGCTCCTGATAGTATTAAAGAGTGTAAGAAGAAGAAGTGCCAGGGTAAGAACTAACTTTATATTATAACCTGATTTTTGTAAGGGGCTTCAATATCTGCCATGAACTAAAAACTTTATTTAGAGAATTGCCTTAGTTACAGCATGTTAAACCCCTCCTTACAGGTTCATCACTTAATTTCCTCTTCTGCATAAAAAGTATAATAAAAAACTTCGTTATCCAATGCAGGTGGTAAGTAGATTCCTTAATAGTGTTCTATGTGACCTTTAGTGATCCATATGGAGTATCTCATATGCTCCATATGGAACTTTAAACAGAAAAAAATGATTTTTTTTATTTAGCCTAGAATTTTCACACTGGGAATTTCCACACCAACGTTTCAGCTTTTTTTTCTTTTTTTTAAACAAAGCATTCCAGCTTTAACCTTAGAAATTTCCCTGTGGGTTGTTTGCAGATTTTTTTTTCAGTTGATAATCCCAATTTGCCTCTTTCAAACCTTTCCCCTTCCTTTAATTATAGTGCTGCTTAATCTCTGTGTTGCTTCTAGCCCTGTCTGTCCAGCAGTATATTTAAACCAAAGAGAATTCCCTGGATGTGGTTTCTACATCCTTCCCCTCTCAAACACACTTGTAAAAATGTAAGATGGTTTTATGAGTGTGTTTTTATTTTTGCTGCTTATATGGTAAATTTTTTGCAGCAATCAGAAGTTATTACCCTCTGTCAGCCTAATCGCTTGGGCCCGCATTGTCTGATATCTGTTGAACCTTTCTTAAAAAGCCTTTAAACTGAAAAAGTTAGATTAGCCTGGAAAAATAAAACTTCTGGCAAATTTTGACCTACAGGTTAAGTACATATGTCATATTCCTGCCAACACTAGCTAATTTTGCCCAGCAAAACCCCATTTTGATCATACTGACACCAATTAGATCTTATAGCCCCTCCAAGGCAGTATTTTCAAGTAGTCTAAGGTATATCTACCTGATCTGCTTGATTAAATTTGCCAGTTTAGCCAGAAAACTGGTTCATCTTGATTTTTTTTTCCTATTGGTAGATTCCAGTGGTTGGCATCATGCAGAATAGGGACCTACAATGACTATAGTGGGAAAATCCTCAGTGATTGGGTGTATAAGAGAGAAGCTTCATGATCCAAGTCAGTATCAACCCCAATGAAAAACAACAGATTATCAGTGGCACAAGCCACGTTGATTCATGGTATAAACTGGCCAATCACTATATGGTTAGGTGGTCAGAACTGGCCTTAATTCCGTGCTTCTGCATGCCTTATGGATGAAAGTGGACACAGTAACATTAACCTAGCTAAAACCACCTTAATCTCTCTCTAATCCTGCCAATAGACCCCCTACTGACTCCCTCCAGCCTGGTGTTTAGTCTTAGAATGGGAAAGTGGCATTTATTTGTCTGATTATACTTTAATACCAGTTGGACAGGGGTATAACAGGTTACTTCTCTAATGGCTCAAGTGACAATTTGTATGAAACCAAATTTTTAAAATGTCACAGTAAGAAATATTTTGGTGCCTTGTCATAATAGAGATGTGTCTACAAAGAATCTCTGTATTTGGAAATATACTCTAAGGAGCTCCTTGATGTTTTTATTATTTGGGGTAATGGAGCTCATGCTAAACAATGGCTCACAGCCAGCTTATAAATTGACAAAGCTTCATCCTCTAAAGATGAGACAAAAAATCTCAGAAATCAAAACCTTCAAACATAATATCTTATCCTCTTCCTTAGGCCCTTTAGAAAAAATGACACTGGCTGGACGTGACTTACATAAATAGCCATTAAATGGAGGGATGCTACAAGGCAGTCACAGATAAAGACTTAGAACATTTTCTTCCCATGCAAACAGCAGATTCCAGACTTCTTTTGAAAGAAAGCATGGAGTTCTGGGCCTGCAGCCCTTTTTACTTAGCAGTGTAGAGTATTTCCAGGGTTTAGCATGAACTTTGTTTGCCATGAATTATGTCCATGATAGGAGGAATTCTAGTGTCTGTGCTGTAGCTTGGCATGCTGATGTGCTAGAGCAACCAGGAGAATTTCCATAATCACCTTCATTCATTCATTCATTTATTCCTGTCGTCATTGAACAGTGAACATGTGTTGAACCACCTACTGATGAACATCTCTCTTAAACATCCAAAGTCTGAAAGGCTAAATGGTTTTTCAGACTCTATGGAATTTTGAAACTTGCAGATGAGACAGAACATTGTGGGCACTCATCAGCACTGCCTTTTTTTCCCCCCTTGTGAGAAAATGCAAGAGCAAAGTAGTGCATATCAATGCATAAAGGGCAACTGAAACATGGCAGCCATGACTACTCTGAAAAGTCATATCTATTTACACAAGGCTCTAGTTGGCCACATCAAAGAGGCAGAGGCCACTTCAAAGATCTTTCTTCAAAGAAAGAGTATCTTAAAGGCTTCTCTGGTGGCTCAGATGGTAAAAAAAAAAAAACTGCCTGCTCTGTGGAAGACCCAGATTCAATCCTTGGATCAGTAAGATCCCCTGGAGAAGGAAATGGCTACCCACTCCAGTATTCTTGCCTGGAGAATTCCATGGACAGAGGAACCTGGTGGGCTACAGTCCATGACGTTGCAAAGAGTTGGACACGACTGAGCAACTCACACTTCAATGAGCAAGTCTGGCATTCTGGGTGACTTCCTACTTACCCAATATCCCTTGCTAAGACATTGGCCTCATTTAAAGAACAGCAAAAGATTCTTTTACACTGGGTCCACCTCATTCCTGAGAGGCTCCCTAATGGGCTAGAGTGTGTGTCCCTAGCTAGAAGTAGAAGATGCCCCTGACTTCAACCAGTATAGGTCAGATCCTTTGCAGGGAGAGCCAGAAATGCATGTGGCAAGTAGACTGCTTATGCTATTTGCCTGTGAGTCTTGGCAGCTGCTTTAAGAAGGGAACTCAGTAGTGGATAGAGAAAATGTCTCCAAGGCATTTGAGAAGGAAGCTAAGCCATTTACATTTAACTGTTGTAGAAGCAGCCTTCTGTTGAATTCCATTCAATTCAGAACACTTTGCCCAAGGGTCCAGGGTAAGCTAGCTGCTGTCCTAGGTTGATTATTCCAGCTCACAAGGAGCTCTCACTCTAGTTGAGTTATAAAGGGATTATTTGGAACACTCCTGGAAGCAGGTATAAACAGAATAGTAGTGTCAATAATATGGCTTGTAACACAGCTGAGCCATCTCAGGGTCCAAGTCACTACCTCCAGAAGCCTCCAGTAAAAAGGCCAGTCGCAGCCCCCACCACAGCTGAGTTCTGTCTTGATACTAGCAGTATAAAAGAACTCTGCTATCTTCGAAAATAGATTCCCTCAGTCGTTTAACTCAGGGGGTAAATACATTTTCACACCCTTATTTTCAGCAGCATAGTTAATTTTTGAGCTAAAATCCCATCATTAAGGATCATAGGGCTTTTCTTTAGCTTCTACCTGCCAACAAGTGTATGATGAAACTATCATTGAGCACTGAATAGTGGGTACAGCAGATAACTCTTTAAAGGAAATATAAAGTTTAGGATTTGGGGTACTTCGAAAAGCTGTGTCCCTTCTCAGCACTTTTGTTGAGCTGGCTCTTAATCAATGAAATACACCTGGACCCTCTAGCCAACTAAGTGAATACCAGTTACCATTTCTGGCGTAGGAATTTTCCATGTATCTTTATGTTAAGTTTTCCCATGGAAACTACCATGATCAAAAGGAGGCTTGATTTTGCCTAGTAGACATGGAAACACTATAATATAATGAGAATGGATGCAGCAACATGGCTATACCTTGCAGGTGACGTCTGCACAAACAAAAGCAAACATTCAGTTACACAGGGAGCTCTTTCAGAGCGGCAGCCTGGAGAAGGAAGAATGTCAGGTATCTGAGCAAAATTCCCAGAGAAAGCACTTTAGAGAATACAGTTGCTCCTTCCGTAACAATGGTGACTGATGATGACTATTGAAATCCTTACAGTGTCTCATACAACATGAGCTCTAAGGGTAACAGCCCTGTGATCTAGATTAGACAAAAATAAAGTTGAATCTTAACATCGTGGCTGTGGAGGTGGACCTTTATGCATTGGCCTCTTTGACAGACTGCTAATTGAGCCAGTGTCAAAGCTCCCTAGATGACTGCAAAGGAATGTGGAAGTTTCATACTGTTTTGTTTGTTATCTCTCACGCTTCTACCCCTGCTTCCCGCCCCCAACCAGTTGCTAGCTGTATCAATTTTTTATTGCTTTACTCTTTTCATGCTCTCTACTGCCTTCTGTACTCTCATATTTCTGTTTTCCTTTATAAAGTAGCCTATAAATCCTTAAAATTTCTACTTCATAGAAAAACTTTTATCTCCGACAGTTGGATACAAGGTTCTGAGCACACCAAAATGTGTTTCAGGTTACACTCTTAAATAGATGGGCTTATATTTTAAACACAGGGTGGGGGGTTTGGTATCATGTTAATCTTGTTGCAGGGTTTTTGCCTACAAAAGAGAAGGTGAACAAGTAAAAATTTTTTCTCAGAAACTAAATATTAATCTCTCTAGCTTTTATCAATTGGTAATTTGCATGTTACCAACATGTCACCAATTTTATTAAGGTAAAACATGAACAGGAGAAATGTAGTTATGTTAAAGCATATATGAATAAATAAAATTTTTCCTTTGAAAGTATAAACGTTTATTAGACTCTTCTAGATATATGTGTTACTTTAGCTGGTTTCTTTTTGTTAAGCCTATTTCTATTAGTCGCTAAGTAGATAATATGGGTAATCTTGATTAGCAGAATCGTTAAGCTCATCTGCGTAGTTCACCATTCACCACTCATCTGTTTTGCTAGAGCAATACCACACCAAGTCTATAAATTAGCCTACAGCTTCAGGCACAGAATAAGGGGAAAACAACTGACCTGTTAGGTTTTCTAGCTAAACTTTAAGTCATTGATTTTCACTTTTTCTTAGTGTTTTAAAGGAAAAATTCATAGCTCTTCAGGCAACGCTTTTAAAGAGTCTACAGGAAAAAAGGGGGGAAACCAATCAAATTATGTTAGAATAAAGGAAGTTAAGCTTTGGTTCAGAGGTAAATGGTACTAAAGTGTGGTTTCACCAACAGTTTTTCCATTATTTAGTTTTGATTAGGTTTTTAACCTGAAAATGCCCAAGGACAATCAGTCCGTATTACATGTGTGCAATTGGACAAGATGAGATAGTTACTTGAAGATAGGTTGGTGATGGATCCTGAGCATAGCTCTCTGATCATTGAATTTTAAGCAACGTAAATTAGTGAATTAATGATTAGAGATGAACTTTATTTCAGTGAGAAACATACTTTTAAATTATTTTATTCAAAATAGTCAATATTCCCATGAACCAAAAGTTTTTAAATTGATATACAGAGAAATAGCAGTTTGCTCATACAATAAACTATTCCTAACTCTAACTCTACTTTTACTTCAGAAAGTAACGTCTTTAAAACTAACGTCATTTCGACTTCTAATTCTCAAGGTTTCTTTTTAAATGTCTTACATTTCAGAGAATATTTACTTTTTTCTTTCTTTTTGGTTTCTGCATTTCTCTTTTTTCTACTGCAATTTTCCACCTTTTGTGCAATTGTGAACAAGGTAACGAAACGCCTCCCTTCCTCAGGAACATCTACTATCTTCATGCTTTCTCAAACTTCCAGCAATCACAGTTTCTCTTGGAGTGAATAAGGTGATTTCCTTTCTTAATGTACCAACTTGCTTGCATTCTCATTTGCTTGACATCATTTTCTGATTCTTTATGAAAAATTCTCATGACTCATCTTTATATCTTCTATTTGATACTTAAGAATATTTTGCCATTTTCCTTTAATCATTTGTTCACCTTCTCAAATTGTCACACTGGAGAATAAAAAACCTGGACTGTAAGTCTAGTCCCACTGGTTCCTGGTACACAGTAGAAGCCACAGCGTGTTAGAGTTAGTCTGTTCACTAAGATAGAAATGTTTTGCACAAATTTCTTTGTTCAGTACACTCAGAATACCGGAACAACTCTCAGAGGTGTTCACCAAAAGGATGGTAAGGTTTACTAATCAAACCTTCATCTGCCTTCATCTACCACATAACTTACCAGTGTCATTTCAAAAACTCAAGTTTGCCACGTACTATTAATGTCTGTATTCTACCATGAAAACAATTCAATGCAAGGTGGAGACTTTCTTAGGTCTTTAAGTGTATTCATTAAATGTTATGCATTTGCTATAGTATAATCATGTGTACTTTTGGCCAGAAGAGTAGTCTTATAGGAAATGATTTTTTTTCTTCCTACATTTTTATCACCAGGTAGGTTACCAATCTTTAAATGCTTTAAGTATCTTTACCTCACTATTACAGAGCGATCTAAGCTGTAAAAAGGCATCTGACTCGTTATCCACCAGACCTTCAGTCAGACCTCTTCTTTTACGAACATTCTCAGATGAATCTAATATATTTTAACAGGTACCTAGTGTTAAAACAAGTGGGCTGGCTTTAAAGAAACAGATTAACAGCATTATAAAGAAAAAATGAAAATATCACTTTCTAAATTTTCTCTGCTGTTGGTGTGGTGAACTTTATACGATTCTTTGAAAAATATAAAGATGCATTACTTGGAATATGGGGAAGTACATATTTTAAATTTGCTAAGCCCCAAAATAAAATTTTATGCATTTTCCAGAGCCAAAGAGTAATATAATATATTTAATTTGTAAGGGGCATGTTTTTATGGCATCAACATGAGAAGGCTTGTTACCACTGATAAGGAAATATAATTGGATTTTAAAAGATCATTTGGAAAATTAAAAATAAATATTCCAAAATTGCATCTGTATAATATCAAGTCAGTTTTAGTATTGCATGTTCTTTTGGGAATTATGTGGAAATAATTCAGTGTGTCTGTACCTCCATGTGCTATGTCTGTGTTTGCAGGTATATATTTATGTCCTTGTAAATGTCCGATCCCCAAGTGTATGGTAATGAACCAATCTACTCTAATCACTTTCTGTAGTGTCAAGTTTTATTCAAGCTAAGTATTTCAACTTTCGGAGGTGAAAGCTTTCCTAGCCATTCAGGGGGATGCTAGCCTAATCATTTAGAATGCATCATAATTAATTTTTCCAAAAGTGAGTAAATTCATCATATAACATGTTATTTCATTTACCTCCCGCCCAAAAAAAATATTTGGAAGGAATTGATATGCCATGGGAGGAATCTTTGAAGTCAGAATGACTCCTCTATGTGTATTTTGTTTCCCACTGCAGGGGCCTCTGTCACCCCAGGCCTTTCAAGGTGTTTTATCCCTCCATGGTCATTTAAAGTACTTCATGAATGAGGTTTACAAATTTGTCAGCTTAGAAACAATTCCACACAGCTTAGGGCAGGGCGTCTTTCATGCACACATAAAAATTAATGATCATCATGAATGACATTGCACATCAGTTCACTTTGATGCTAACAATTGTGAGGCCACTTCATAGGCCCATTTTCTCATCAGCTATCAGCTTCCCTACCCTTCAGCAAAGAATAAAAATTGAGCTAAAAAATTGAACCCATTGGTTCTTCTGTCTCCTACAGTTCATAACAGTCTGTATCTGCAGTGTTATTTTGGGAGGCGACTCATTTTGTCTCAGTCTACCTCCTTTTACCCAGTTGGAGTGACTCAGTTCAGTCGCTCGGTCATGTCCGACTCTTTGCGACCCCATGGACTGCAGCATGCCAGGCCTTCCTGTCCATCACCAACTCCCAGAGTTTACTCAAACTCACGTCCATTGAGTCGGTGATGCCATCCAAAATATTTTCCTTCAGTAATGAATCTGCTTCCTAGTAGCCTTCAAAGTCTTTTACCATCTTGTCCCAGATAGCCATGTCCTAAGCTGTGTGGTGTATTTTAGTGAATTTTTTATCCCCCTGGATTGCTTTACTTAGCTTGGTCTGTGGTTTGGGAGACTAGGCTGGGTAGCAGACATTGCTACTGTTTTTGGTCTCTCCAGGGCCTTAACTCCTACCATGTTAAAACTAAATAAGTTTTTGTGTTGCTTTGTTTTTTTCAAAAACTATTGTTTTATTTTTTAAGTAATTATTTCTTCTAGGAATATATTTTCATATGACATTATTTCTTCTCCAAGGCAGAGAAATCTGGCAGTTAGTTTAGCCACTGAGTTTGTCCCTTGGTTGTTAAGGAAACTGCCTGACTCCTTATATAAGTTCTCATGTGAATGTCAGCCTTATTTTGGTTAGCGTCAACTTGCCCCTGCTACCTGAAGAACTAATATGAGAATGTGTGTGTGTGCCAAGTTGCTTCAGTCATGTCTGACTCTTTGCGACCCTATGGACTATAACCCACCAGACTCCTCTGTCCATGGAATTCTCCAAGCAAGAATACTGGAGTGGGTTGCCATGCACTTCTCCAGGGGATCTTCCCAGCCCAGGGATCGAACCTGCGTCTCTTACATCTCCTGTATTGGCAAACGGGTTCTTTAAACACTAGCGCTACCTGGGAAGCCCCCAATATAAGAAAATGAAACATCAAAAGAAATGGAAGGTATTCTACAGGGCTTCTAGTCCAAGCATGGCAAGGAAGGTGCACCAAAAGGGGAAGAAAACAGTACACCCCTTAAGGCCTTCCACTACCCACGGTTTTAAAATTTGAATTTTTGAGTGTTGAATCAAGGTTAGGTTTACCTCCTTGACAGTAGGACTTGTACTTCTCCACATACCTGATTTACAGGCACCAATTCTCATGCCACATCCTAATGATAGCGTGTGATAGTATTTAGAGGATGAAGAATCTAGATTTCCTAGGGTGGTTTCTGTGGTTTCTTTTCTAAAAAGATAATGAATAAGGAAAACAGAAGAGTCAATTGACTCAGAGATACACGATCTATCAGAAAAAAATTAACATAGGTATTATAGAGAGGAAACATGTTTCTTTAAGTAAAAGTGCTTTCTTAACAATCTTTCAAAACTGAATATTAGAGTTTGTCATAATTAACACAACCAAAAACCAGTCATCAATTCATTCATTCATCATGTCCTGAGAACCTGCTGTGTGCCAGACACTGGACTGGGTGCTCGAGACAGAAAGTTAAATAAAACATCCCTGTTTTCATGGGGTAGGGCTCACAGCTAGAAGGGATCCTAGTCAGCTAAGCCTCTGCTGTCCTAGTGGTAACAGTTCTTAGGAGAACCCTGGAGCAATCCAAAAGCAAAAAGCAAGTCTGAATCTGTTCAGCTGACAGATGAAGAAAAGATTAAAAACTGGTTATTGTGTCACTTTTTTCCCCAAGCATGTGAATAAAACTTGGCAGCTTTTTTAAGACAACTGGTTTACTCTCATAACAAAGTTTACTACATGATTTATTTTTTTAAGTGCTAAACAGATGGTTTCACATTATTATTAAAATTAATGTTTTAACTCCATATATTTTACATCTTTCAGAATCCGAATCTTGAACTGCCTATGTTATTGTCCTACAAGCATATTGACAGTGGTTACAGATAAGAGAGAAAGCATGAAGAAACAACTTCAAAAAGTTACCATCTCAGGATACTTGATATGCAACAAACTAAACCACTATTTTACATCTGAGGTTCAGAATAAAATGTCCAGTAAAATACCAAATGACTCTCTTAAGCATTTATAGTTATTATAAGTAGCCATTGTGTCCAAAGTTCTTAAGTTATGAATTATATGAAAGTTGAAAGCAAGAATATATAGAATTTCTGACTTTAGATAGAACAACTACCAAATGAGTGCTCTTTTAACCCATGAACTCTGAATGGATTTAAATACAATAGAATAAAGTAGAAGTCGTGCAATGGGAATGAATAGAGTTTGCTAATCTTACTTTTTTGCCTGGCAAAAGAAATAGGCTGTTTGGATCACATTTCTTGTTCATACTGAATGGTGATCTCAAATTTTTTCAACATATGAAAGGAATACTTGAAAATATAAAAGAACTAAATCAATGCATCAGATAGTAGTTAATCTTTTCTGTTCACCCACATGCTGATTATCCTTGCCAAAAAGTGCATTGAAAGGTGGAAAGAATGTTAACCCTGGGTATTTTTGCAAAAATCCAAAAAAAAATTATTTATTTTTGTTCTTCTGAATTACACTTAATGGGTAGAAGACTACTAGATTTGAAAAGAAATCATTTCCTATCACTTCAGTGACCCCTCAAAATAGTTAAGATGTAACAGATTTTTCCAATATTAGTTTTACTGGGGTCAGAGGTAAAAAGGGAAAACCACAGTTACATTAGAATGCCATTCTGAACATCAGTCTTTTATAATTTTTTTTGTGGAGGGGAAGGAAGAATAGCTTATTTGAAACTGTTAACACTTTCTATTTGGAAGAGGTTGCACCTGTGTGCATATGCAGCACTTTTTTTTTTTTAACTTGGCAATTTGGGAAGGAGGAAGGGTCCATAACATGACTCTGAACATGAATGTTGTCTCTCTTAGCAAACATGGCTAGGGTAATGGTCTAACTCTAAACCATGAGGTTCACCTTGGTTAAGTCCTCCACTTACTGGACTAGAGGGAGGTTATAGCCTCCTAAGGAGCTCACTTAAAACATAAAAATAAATGTGATATGTTTTCTTTATTAAATGTTAAAATTAAACATATATGGTTTTTTTTTGGATATAAGTGACTACATTTGACTCCTACATTGAAATGGTCTTTTAAAAGGTATTTTTATTCCAGTTTCCATTTTTGGTTGTCTTTCTGGCATGCCTGTACACTTATTCGTGTTTATATTGTACCTTGATTTGGAGAAGTATTAGATTCAGTCTATACCAATGTACTTATAAAGTCCGTATGACATATTTGATTCTTCCACTTACATTTTGTGTTAATGTTTAGGTGTAATTCTTCTTAAATTCTCGAAAGGACATAATTTCAGTTATCAGAAACCATTCCATCATTACTGACCCTTTTTCATTATTTCATTTGTTACCATCTATCAGTATTATTTTTGAGTATTTGTTAGGTGTCATCACGCCTTCCTAAGTGTGCTGTGTCCTCGTAGCCTAGTATTTGTAGTAGTCTGCTGAAAACTAAGTCAGTATATTCTCTACCTATTCCAAAGAGCTAAAAATCAGAGCCAGGAAAGCTTTTGATGTTTTGTTGTTGTTCTTGTGTTTATAATTGTTGCTGTATTATTACTGTTGTTTTACATAAGAATTATAGAGACTGTGAATACCAAGAGCCCACCTTAACTAGAGAGGCTTGTTTAATGCAGACCATTGGAGGTTTGACATCAAAATATCTAGGGTAGTAGAAATATAACTGGTGGCATGTAAAATTCCTTGCAACCTGGAAGAAAGATAAGTAAGGGGGATATAGAGTCGTGTCTTATAAGGTACCCATTACACTGCAGCTCAAATTCACGATGACAATGATGTGTGATATAGCCTGGATTCTTGAAAGGGACCTGACTTGACTTTTTTAAAGATAGATATTTTATTAATGAGCTAAAAAATAGGGTTGGTGTGAGGTTAGCATAAGTAAGCCATCCAGTATCCCTATCACTACAATCTAACCACCTTATTTTGTGCCAGAGAAACTGATAAAATGTAATAATAGGATCATATACCCATCATTTGAATAACTTTCAACTACAAACTGTCCTTATAGTTTTCATAACTGTTGTCCATTGTTTGAGGATGTTACTACTAAACTGAAAACATAAATTCCATATCTACCACATCTACACCAGCAACAGTATAAAATGTAAGCCTAAATTTGCAAAATTCATAATAATTTAGTGATGGAATTTTTTAATAACATGCAGTATATAAATGCAGATTTTATGCAAGTGTTGACAAAATCATTTTTCAGCTTACAAAATGGGACTGCAATATTACATTTTTCACTTCAGCAATTTTTTACATCATTGCTTTCTATAATGAATGTGAATGCCATCTTTTATGAATGCAACTTGCCTTTTTCATTACAGAAATTTTGTTCGATGTAATCAATAAACTTTGGTATGATATAATTGACATTTTTAGTCTCTTTTTTTGTAAAGGTCCGTTTGACATAAAAGTAATATGGAAGCAATTTGGCGATGGGAAATAAGTTTCTAATTTCTGTTTTGCCTGTACAGCTCACAAAAGATTGAGCTGGCAAATGCAAACTGGCATTTGAGGGCGGTACTTAATTTGGGGACATTCTGATATTTGGGAGTTCTGAATAAGGCTGGATCTGGTTGCTGTATATGGAAAAGTCCAGCTAAATCGGCAAGTATGTATTACTAGGTTTCTGTGTGCTAGGCAGTGCCCACTTGTTGCACGTTGTGCGATATATGGTCCACGTCTGCATCCCATTGAAATCATTTGATTCTTTTTTTTAATATTGATTTATTTATTCAGCTGTGCCGGGTCTTAGTTGCAGTACGTTGGATCTTTAGTTGTATGCAGGGTCTGACTCCCCGACCCAGGATGGAACCTGGACCTCTGCATTGGGAGTGTGAAGTCTTAGCACTGGACTACCAGAGAAGTTCATGAAATCATTTGATTTTTAAGTAGCCAAAGATGCAGGGATTTTACAATAGAGAGTGTGTGTGTGTGTGTACATCTTCCTCTCCCTCGCACCCTTCTCCCTCCCTTCCTTCCCTCTGTTGTTGCTCAGCCTGCCTCTGATGCCTTGTGAGTGTCCCTTTCCTTGAAAAACCCTGCTCTCCGTGACTCCTAAGAAACTAGTCACCTGGGTAGTTGGTTTCATTACATTTGTACACTTCCGTCTCTGTATTTTTATCATCTTTTAATCCTGTTAGTCTTTGACCTACATTGAGAAAATGCATTTCATCTTTTTTTGTTGTTAAGTGGGAAATGTGCCCAATGGGGAGGTGAGACTTGAGTTCAAGTTTCAGCTTTGCCACTAAAAGCCATTTCCCTCTCGATCCTCTTTTCTCTCACCTGTAAAGTGGTGTCTTGAGGGTGAGGGGAGAGCAAGTGAGGTAAAAGATCATAATTTCTTTTTAAAATGGCATTTACTAGCCAGACAAATGCATTGGTATTTTTATATTAAGGGGTTTTATTGATGCTTTGACACTTGTAATCAATAGTTGTCATTTACCAAATTTTCATACATGTGTCTTAGATTCTTTCCGTCTTCTTGGAGTTAGTCTGTTTAGGTTTCCTTCCCTTCCCCCATCCAGTCTGGTGAGGCACCGCCTCACTGTTGAGTCTGCCCAGGACCGGCCAATGAAGTAAGTATTGTGACGGACTGAGTGGTTTGGCCCCTTCAGTGAGAAGCAATGCAAAGGTTAGGGGCTGAGGTTATCACTATGGTTATTCAGTGAATGTGTCCGCGACTGAAGCACTGGGTGCATACTAACGAAGCTTGAAAGCCTGAGTTCTGGGAATAGTTGTCGGGAGAATGAGGGGCTTAATTATTTCACAACATTTTTTATTTAATTTGACACATTTTTCCAGCAGCTGATGGGTAAGGAAACGTGGCCTCAGTTCCTAGTACATGGACCTACTGTGAAAAAGCACTACTGTGAAGAGCAAACAAGTCCTCATCCTATGGGCAGGCCACTGGCTGGACAGTGCGCCTCTTCATGGAGCAGAGTTCCTGCTAGCCATGGGTCTTTGGCCTTGGCTCTTTGGGTAGGGAGAGACAACAGATGTTCATAGTTAAAATGCCTGCTGCTTCTTTGATCTCTTCATCAATTTGTTAAGACAGATTTCCTACCAGTAAAGTCACTAAAATCCCAGTTCATCATATAAGCTAACACTTAAGTAGCATTTACTATGTGTCAGGCACTGTTCCACTGACTTTACATATATTCACTCCTTTAGTAATCCCCATAACCCTATGAAATAGGTATTAACACTTTTTTGATATCAGCTATGAAACAGCATCAGACAGGCCCAAACTGAGGGCTATTCTACACTTTAACTGGCTTGTAATCATCAACATTATTAACATGATTAAAGACCAAGACCCAGGGATGCCCAGATAAAGGAAAGGAAGATGACAAGTGCAGCGTGTGATCCTCAGATCCTGGACCAGATATTGGGACATTGGTGGGGTAATTGGTAAAGTTTGTGGTATATAGGTTATATCAATGTTAATTTCCTCATCTTTAAAATTTTGCTGTGATTGTATATATTTGGGGGGATCTGAGTGGAGAGTATATGAGAATTCTTTGCACTGTTTTTGTAGATTATTTCAAAATCATAATTTGAAAAATAAAGCTAGAACATAATGAAGCATACAGATATTAATGGGAGAAGGCATTAAGCTGACTCTAGAAGACTAAAATATAATCTATTAACAAATATCTGCATGGCACTTTACAGAATGTTTTAACATACCTCATTTAATCTTCACGGCAGCTCTGTGTAGAGATTACATCATGAGACTCTAGATTCTTACAGATAAAGAAACTGAGGCTCAGATAAGTTAATTATCTTGTCCCTGGTTCCTCAGGACTGAACCTAGGTCTGAGCCATGTGTTTTCTGCTACTCTACCCTGCATCTGTCTAGCACTCCTCAAGCATGTCTGCTGGAGTCTACAAAAACTAAAGAGGAAATTCCTGAAATCAGTTTTCCTGTGGGCCCATTTGGATGTGATGGTCTAACCCAAATCAGACCAT